GAGGCCCTCCTCTTTGCAAGGAACCAATCAGAAGTGTGCTTTACAGTGCACAGGACAGTGTACAACAGTGACGTGCAGAGCATAGCAATCGCCCTGGGAGGTAACAACCAGTTGACCAACACAGGACAGGTCACCCAAACGTGGAAGCACACCAGACCCGACGCTGTTTCATACCCCTAGACACTCAGGTTATGCTTCCCTTAAGATCCCTGCCTCGAGGTTGCTCAGGGTCTTTCTCCAGCCATCCGCCATGGTGGCGGGATGAGGGACCCTAACTAATGGGTTAGTTCATTAAATAACTTCAATAAAAGACTCTTTGCTTTTGCATTGAAATGGGCCTCTTGGTGATTTTGGGGTTCAGAATCTGGGCACAAGAGTCTATTGTTGTTTTTATTTGTTTGTTTTGTGGTTTTTATTTTATGTAACTGGGAAGCATTATCATTGCCCTCCTGGTAGGTAAACGCAAACAAAGTAGTGTTGTCTCCTTTAAATGGAGCATTTTGCATGAATATCAGTCTTGTCATCATCATAGTTTGCTTTACATGAAGCCCTAACCAGTACCACACCTGAATGTAAAAGTACTATGGCACGCTCCTTAGATGTAGACATATAAGCATACTGTGGCACCTGAATGTGCCACTGAACTGAGGAAACCAGCAGTTACTATGATGAAGCTACCACAAGCAAGAATTCAAGGTTTTGGCAATAATGTAAAAAGAGACTTCTTCTGATGTGCACAGATAATGATGGGTTCTTATTTTATTAATGCCATTTAAGACACAGATGAAGCCTAAGCCTCTTAGAACTATTTTTGGCTGAAAACATGCTGCCCGTTTTTGGAAATCCTGCTTTAGAAGTATCTTTGCATTGGCACCAGCAGAAAAGTGTGCCTTTGCAACATCAGAAAGAGACAGAGATGAGAAATGATGAATTTTGTTCATTGCTTTACACTGGAAGCCTTGGTAATTTGCTGCCTGTGTGCCTGGACTGCTAGACTGTCTGTTGACTAAGCTTTAAGTCTGGACTTTCCCATCATCCCTTTCATATGCAAATACATTGAATGCCCCCCGGTCTAAAAAGGAGGTAAATAAGGTTACATAAAATGAATCTAACATCTTTTCTGTAAAGATTAGCAAACTAATCTCTTTAGCATCCAGACTACATATTTTGTCTGAACACTCAGTGGTTCAATTTAATTTTTACCAATTTCATATAATCTTTAAAATTAAAATCACACTTATCAAAACATTGTATAGGGAAGTATGTATTAAGGAAAACAAATACAACCGATAAAATGTATATTGTGTATAATCAGGGGTTTATCTATACACACATAAGCCCCTAAATTTTCTACCAACTAAAATTACATTTTGCAAAAGCTTATTTATACCATTTGATTATTTCACAGTCAAGATAAATGGTATGGATATCTAGCTAGCTTAAACACAGAAGTCTAAGACATAAATCGAAATATGATGAATACTCCGTGCTTATCCAAAATGATATTCAGCTTCTATCTTTGCTACTTCTTCATTTCAAATCCAACATTCTCTGTCTTTACACTTAAAATAGGAATAACAACGCTTGTCAATTGTTCTGGTTGGTTGTTACTGCAAATGTGATACAATCTAATGTCACCTGAAAAAATGGGAAACACAGCTGAGGAAGTGCTGTAATTAGATTGGTCTGTGAGCACCGTCTGTCACTGTCTTGAGTGTTAATTGATATAGAAGGCCCACTGTGGCTGACACCATCCCCCTGCACATTCTCCGGAGCTAAATAAGAAAGTTAGCAGAGAAGAGCGAGTGAGTTACCTAGAGAGCAAGCTGGCAAGCCACAGTCTTCCTTGGTTCTCCTCCAATTTCCTACTGAGATTCCCACCTTGTTTATCAACCAGTGATATATGAAGGCCTGGGAATAAAAGGCAAACAAACCCATTCCTTCTCAGGTTGTTTTCTGGCCAGACTGTTTTATCAAAGCAAAAGAAAATCAAACTAGAACTTCAAAATAGCAGAAATATTAGGATAAAGTAAAGACTTTTAAAAAGGATGACACCAACTGGCAAACTAAGCAGTGGTGGAGAAACTCCTTTAAATGTCCCTCCCTGATAAGGATTTTGAAGACTATCTTACATGACATCCTAGAGCCTCCATCCAGTTACAAATGGAAGCAGTGGCAGACACCCACAGCTAAACACTGAACTGAACTCCTGGAACGCAGTGACACAGAGAGAGGAGTGATGAGCAAAGGGGTCACGACTGGGCTGGTGAAACCCAGAGAAACAGCTGACTTGAGCAAGGGGGAGATCTTGGACCCCAGATTGATAGCTGAGAGGCAAGCATAGGACTAATCCAGACCCCCTGAATGTGGGTGTCAGTGAGGAGACCTAGGCAATCTATAGGGCTTTGGACAGTAGATAAGTATTTATCCCTGTCACACAAAAAGACTTTGGGTGCCCATCTCACAATGAGAGACCTCTCTCAGCCTGGACTCTTGAGGGAGGGCCTGGGCCCTCCCCGGAATGAAATGACAGACTCTAGAGATCCCCCATGGAGGGCCTTACCCTCCCTGGGTAATGGAGTGGGGATAGGGTGGGGCACAGGGGGGAGCTGGTTGGAGGGAGTGGGCGTGGAGGGAAGAGAGAGGGAACTGGAACTGACGTGGGAAGCAAGCTTGTTTTTAGTTCAAATATATAATAAAAAAAAAGTGTTTAAAAAATGATGATCATGATGACCTAAGTCCATACTTAGATAGAATCTGGCCTGAAAAATGATACTTGTTATCATTGTTTTTATTTTTGTATTTTATAACTGTGTTAATCAACACACACATACCTTCCTTGTCCAGAGGGTAGTGGTTCTCCCTGAAGCCTTCCACGTTCTAGACTGTACCTCATCTAGACTGTGCATCTGCAATCATCGACATCACAGCCAAAGTAACTTCCTTGCTCATCCCAGTGGGCAGGACCACGGATCATGGGCCTCCACATAGTTTGTGGTGATCTCCCCCTGCTGTAGTAGGACCAGGTGGCAACACAGACTACAGACACCCACATAGCCTTCAGGGTTAACCTGGCCCATGGACATCAACATGGACATCAGCTGCAGACCCAGACATGACCCTTGGTGGCAGCACAGACCCAGACATTATCATGGTCTGAGGTGGCAGAACAGGACACTCAGATCAGTATGTCCCATGGTGGCTGAACGACCCACAGATGTTAACAGCACTTCACGAAGTAATACAGATTATGGTCCTCTGCAAGACCCAAGGTTAACTTGGACCAGAGACATCAACATCCTGACTGCAGTATGACCCAGATGTGGCCTTCAGAAACAGCATTGACACATATATCACCATGGCCTCCAAAGCAGTGCAGGCCATTCTCATCAATATGGCCCCTGACAGCATTAGGGCTATGACCATTGAGGTGGCTTCTGCCTGCAGCACAGACCACAGACATCCATATGGCCTCCAGCAGGGCACAGCTAGGTGGGGTGAGGTCTGTGTGGCTCTCCTCAACTGTTAGCCTTCCACCATGTGCACCTGCCCTGGGCTGGGGCCAATTGATGCTGATTTTAACCATTTAACTATTCTTCCTGTTAGATTTCCAATTTGAAAAACACTCCCCCTTTTTTTTAATCAACCACAGTTATCTTTCCTCCAACTTTATTGTCATATTCAACATCATAACTAATTTTCAAAATCTCCAATGCTTTGAACTGTTGAATTCTAGTACTATTCTGGGTTTACTTGGTCCTCAGTCTGTGAAAACTAGCTCATCCAGAGTCAGTCTTCCACCTGTAGCAAACCATTCCCATTGCTTCCCTGTCACAGAGGGTAAGCCCTGCCTAGAGGAATTGCTTCAAGAGATAATTTAAAATGTATTGCTTTATCTTTTGCATATTAATAGAATTACACTTGGTTTAATTATGTTGCAAATTTAGGTGCATTGGTTACTTATAATTTCTTTCTGTGTCCTTGACAGGACTGCATTGACTCATTCTACTCAGGAAGTTAATCAAATGAAATTATCCTAAATTTTTTTTATCCTAAATTTTTTTTCACTTTCTTTTCCCTAAAACTGTCCAGCTTTCCTTCTTCCTGAATTTACAGACATCATCCGATTTTGAACGTACACCCTTCAGTCTCACTCACACTGACTGCTTCTGTATTCATCTATTTTATCATCACTGAAGCCAAATGTCTGAGAGACATACCCTCCTGGGAAGAGGAATTGAATTCAGCCCACAGTGACTATCAATCAGTCCATTATGGCAGGAATTATATAGCAGAGCAGCTGACACTGTGATTGTCAGGAATCCACAGCAGCAATGGGAAGAGACAAGAGTAAAGCAGCCCCCAAGAGCATGGGCCAGCTCAACAGCATCCTCCACCCAGGCCTGCTTCACTTCCTCGGCTACACTGCCTCTGAGCAGTCTACTCAATCCTTGACTTCATCTGTTACTGAGATGATTTGCTAGCCTCTAGGACCCATCACCTAGCTTGTGGGAGTATGGGCAGCAGCTTAGTATATAAGACATTCTATAGGGGAACATAAATTAAGCAGGTAAATACATTTTGGGGGGCCTTAAACTGCCTAAATTACAATCTTTTACATAAAATATTATGCATAAAATTATCACTTGCCTGAAAAATGACTTAAAATGTAACATTTCAACTTGTCTTTTGAGCACAAAACAGAACTACATTTAGCATAATTCTAGAATGCAATGTGAACAAACCCAACTTGAGGTATGGAGACATAACTATAGATAAGAACTTGCTTCAGAACCAGATGAAAGAAACATTTTTGTTGTGTCATATTTAACCCCATGACCCAGACCGAAAAGTCAGAGGCAAGAGAAGAGAGCAGCCTTGATTAGAGAGGTCTCATGAAGAAGCCGCCAAGTACACACCTCGTATAGAGGTCACCAGATGATGTGGCAGATGCTGCTCAAGAAATATGCGCAGCTTTTTCATATAACACTTAGTGAGGATAAATTATTCATTGACTATTTTAATGATCTTAATATCCTCTGCTTTGTACTTATTGAAGCAGTAAAACAAACTAGTCATTGTAAAACCTTTTTGGAAGCTTTACTCCAAATACTTCAATTCTTTTGCACAGAAGCGTAGACACTGCATTAACTGTTTGACTTGCTGTCTTGATGAAATGCAGCTAAATGAAGAAAGGGATCATTTTGGGGTCTCAGTGATAGGGTGATAATCCATCATGGCAGCAGGGGCTCGGGTCAGCTTGTCACACTGTCATTGTATCTGGGAAGTGAGTATTGGTCCTCTTCTCATTTTAGCCCTTCTTCCTTTTCATGCCATGGAGGACTCTATTTCTTGGGATGCTCATGTCCACATTCAGGGTGTTTATTCCCTCCTCAGCTCATAACTCTAGAAATAACAACAGAGGTACCCAGAAGCATGAGTCCTGTGTGATTCTAATCCAGTAACGTTGACAATTAGGATTGGCCACCACCACAACAAAATTAGTTTCCAGGTTTATCTTAGATTGTATAGTAGGTGTAACACAGCTACATGTCTCACTGCTGTTAAAAAAACACTTAGCAAGAGCAACTTAAGAAAGGAAAGAGTCTTTTTTTGTTTTGTTTTGTTTTTTTTTGTTCGTTTTTGTTTTTGGTTTTTTTTTGGCCACAGTTTCAGCACATTCAAACATGGCAGGGCTGGCATAGATACACAAACCTGAGGCAACTAGCCACAGTGCATAGATAGTTCAGGACCATAGTCAGATGCTGATAGTCACATGGTTTTCTCCTTTTTCTTCAGCCTAAGTTCTCAGCCCAAAGACTGATTCCCTTAACTATTAACATACTCCTGAGGACATCCCTCATGGTGGTGCCCAGAGGTTTGTTGCCATGGTGATCCTAAACTGACAGCCAAGACTAAGTGTCACACAACTAGTAATAGTAGTACTAAAGCAGTGATCATGTGTTAGCTATCTATGATAGTACTTCTGTTTTTCTTACACTGCATCAGCAAAATCCTCCTAGAAAGCGCATTTTAAAGTTGTTCTTAAGATACTAAATAATGCTTCTTTGTGTGAAATGAGCACAGACAGGCCACAAAACACCGTTCTTCTGGATCCATAAGCACTGCCTGCCTTTGGAACTATTGTCTTGAAGCACATTTCTGCTACTAGTTGCTCTGGACTCTAATTTTGATGTTGCTTCAATTTAGCGATAAAACAGCTTGATCGTAAGATTTTAAGTTATTCTGTTATTATTCAGTATTTCTACACTGTAGTGTCAGTTATAATGACTAAGTAGTTTTGTTAATTATTTCTCTGTATGAAGATTCTGATATTTCAAGTTTATCTTAAATCTCAATTACTTCATTAAAACTTCCTAAAATTAAACTAGTAGAAATTAATAGACGTTTCTCTTGATAGTCACTGCACAGTGACCTTATTATTTAAAAAGTATATTCTGCCATTGTAATTACTAATATGTCTTGTAGCATATGACAAATAGTCTTTGATATCCAACATACTCCACAAATGTCAATTGAGCAAAAGCTAAATGAGTGTATTTAAAAATAGGTACCCAGTTTTGGTCTAAAAAGCACAGCTCACATCTTAAAGGGAATAATAGTTAGTTTTTGCTGGAGCCATTTTGAGTGATCATGGCCCAGGAACACAGATTTAGGTTGCCGTAAATTCTACTTCCTGACATGGAAGAAGTTTCATGAAGTTTTTAAAGTTTTTTAGAACAAAGAAAATCATAAATCAACACAAGTTTAAAATAGATTGGTCAGTAAAATAGACAGGCAGATTAATGTGATGTGGGAATCTTTTCTATAGACTCAAAATGCTGTTTGATGACATTCTTAGTTTTTTGGTTGGTGGTTAATAGACTATGAAAGGCTTCTATTTAGTCATGAGGTGTTAGTGCTGACGTAGACACATAGTAGTGGGCAAGGAATAGCTGTTGCTGGGCGCTTGAACTAACCCAAGATAAGGTAACTGGCCTCTAGACAGGCAACATTCCAATCTTCCCATAGTACTGAAATTCTGATCAGTCACTCTGTGCAGACAATGATTCAAGAGTTTTGACTCACAACAGGACAAAACTTCTTCCTGGGGTTTTCATTCACACCAGTAAGAAAAAAATGTCTGATATAGGATTATTAGGTCACTGTGTAGTATTTAACATACAATAAAGACTTCCAGGCCCTACCTGAATTGTGTTGCCTTAGATTCCATTCCAAAGTGATCGTAATTATGTGTTCCATTATTCAAAGACATGATATGACAATTCACACAAGGCACTTTCCTGGGACCCAGGGAAAGGAAGATGAAGCACTTGTCTGTTAGCCTCTTTTTCTTGGCCTTGAGACCTCTGAAGCTATTCAAGTCTCCAGGAAACTTGTGACTGGCCTAGGAGTCCAAATGTATCACACACCTATGTGAATATTCGGGAGGTAGGCATTGTCAAACATGTTGTCTATTCACACACAGCTCTAACTCGTCATTTAGGCAACAGACATAGTGCTGAATTCCCTTCCTCAAATATGGGAGGAAAGAGGGAGAACTCAAATTGTCAAAATTCACTCACAAATCCAAACCTTTTAACATCCTACTGCCTCAGTTTCATCACTGCAATCCTCTGTCACGTGAAATCTTTGGAAATGGAAAATCTGTAGCTGTAGCCTTAAGTGAAAGCACCTTCCTACTTAAGTGACACAATCAAAGCGCTGACAAATGATACCGTATTAAGCAGTACTTTGTGTTTTTGTGTGTGTTTTTTTTTCTGGAGGTTTGACTAATTACTGATCATTATTTTATTATCCCGCAAAATAGCCTGAAATCTTTGCCTTTCAATGGGAAATAAGAGGGTAATTTAAAAACGTACTAATGGAGTTCCTGCCATTTCTCCTCCTCCACAGGAAGAAAGCCACGCCATCCACGGAAGGCTGTGCCAGCTCTTGCTTTCCTGAATGCTGCTGGAAGGCAAATAAGAGCTCTCCCAGAAACAGAAGCACAGCTGCAAGTGAGGTGTCTGGCCAAACCCTGATCCTTTCTCTGGCTGCTTCCTGCGTTCAGCTTCCTTCTTCTGAATAGTACTGATAAATTAGCATGGGGAGAGCTTTTGCTGGACTCTGGGCATGTGCCTCCAGGGCTTGGAGCCATAGCCTTCAGGAGCCATGCTGTGTGGGCCATTAAACAAATGACAAAGAAAGACGAAAACACTCCTTCTTAGCATAAATATCCAATGATTGATGACAGGCTCTTTTATTTATCCCTACCCAGGGTGTTTTCAAGTCTGTTCAGAGTCAGACCCTGGCTATCATGCAAATCACAGGGAAAATGTTTCATAGTTCACATAGCAGTCATTTCTCTGGGGTATTTTCTTCTCTCTTGTGTCTAAAACACTATCATCCTTGCCATGCCCAACATCGCCCATTGCTGCTTTGTATGGTTGGACTGAATCTAGCTATTAACCCATAATCTCCATATTCTAGTTTTCTAAATAATTGAATGAATTTAATTAGTGGCATGATTTAGTACTGTCAAAAAAAGACTTATCTATTCAAATTTCTGTGACAGAATCTTAATACTTTGAGGAGGGCAAGGTATACAGATTAATTTGATGAAAGAAGTTCACTAAGCATGGGATAGTTTACGTTTAAAAAAAATAGCCTTTCTGCAAGCAGTAGTAGTCTGCCCAGCTGTAGATGTGTCCCCCACAGAAAGAACATAGTAGCTGCAAAATTGTGTGGTTGAGCCCTTATTCTCTAATTCCCAGCACATTCGGTGGATTACATACTGTTTATGCATCCTGCAGCCTCCCGAGCCCTGTTTCTTTACAGTACTTACTCCTGCTGCTAAAAGGAAAATAGGCTCCGACAATCCTCTTTGCCTGCCAGAGCCGCTGCCTCTGAATGAACACATCCTGAGTCAAGCTGATCTCTGTGATCCTGGAATCCAACAGGAGATGAAAAGCATTCTGTGCTCCTCAAAGGGCAAAAATTGCTATTCGTTTAGGATTTACAGCAGAGCCCAAGCTTCCTCACAGAAGAGCCGATGCTATCCTTCCTGACTCCAAGGCCTTTGCTGAACCAGCTCAAAGTGCAGATGAACCGGAAGGCCCCAATCTGCCTCTGGCTCAGGCTCTCCTCCAGCCTGACACAGTTCAGTTCAGGAACAATAATGAGGCCATTGAATTTCCCACTGCAGCTGGGAGCTAGTGGTAAATGCTGAGGCTAAGTTGTTCAAATGACTGTGCAGGGGGACTAACAGATGAAGAAAGTGTAACCCAATTTACCCTGTATTCATACAAAATGGTTTTAAACACATAGTGCAAAGCTCTGCTATGATTCCCTGTAAAACATCCCAAGAACACCTTGGCAGAGGAAATTGACAACTAAAGGACCCCTCAAGGAGTAAATAAGAGGCAACAGTAGTACAATTCCTGACGTTTTTCATGGGATCAAAGATCTTGGAAGGCAAACAACTGGATGATATCTGTGAGCAGGAAGTAAGAAATATTCTTCATTAAAATAGTAATGAAATAATTATTGCTTTTCATAAGTATTCTGAACTTTTTTTAGGAACAGAAAGAAAAAAATTATTCTGCTCACAGCATATAACACAAGAGCATTAACTTTTAGATTATCATTCTGTTCATTTGAATAGAGAGACAATTAAGACAATGAATAAAATAAGTACAGGAATATTTTCTAAATTGATTTGAAAGACCAACCAAAATTATTTATTTGTTTTGATACATTAAAATATTTTTAGGAACATGTATTGTGAGCTGGATATGCATCCAGTAGTTTTGATTATAATTACTGTAGAAATAGGTTTTCAGTGATTTATTTATGTGCTCCATAAAAAGCATACTTGAGTTTTGTGATATATACATAGCAGTGACTGATTATAACATAAGAAGTATATGATATGTAAATTTCTTCAGGGTATAAATACATGATTAGCTGAAAGAAAGTGAGTGTCCCTAGATATTACATATTTGGAAGTGATAAAGTAAAATTTTATGTTGAGTGAGTATAGGTAGACTATTACATGTCATCATATCAATACAAATTTTTCTTTTTTAATTCAGAAACAATCATTTTACATATCAATCTCCCACCATTCCCTCTCCCTGACATCCTGCCATGCCCCCTACCAATTCCCCCAACCCACCCCCGACCCGCTCTCCAAGGACTGTGAGGCCTTCCATGGGGGAATCATCAAGGTCTGTCACATCATTAGGGAGAAGGCCTATGCTCTCCTCCATGTATCTGGGATAAAATATTATCTCTCCACAGTGAATGGGCTCCTGAAGTTCATTTGTGCACTAGGGATAAATACTGGTTCCATTGTGAGAGGTCCCTTAGACTGCCTAGACCTCCTGTCACTCACATTCAGACGGTTTGGTTCATTCCAACGCTAGTTCCAGAACTTTACAACTGGGGTCCCTGCTTTTAATACTTTTATTTATTCTGTAAGTTTGGTGTTTCGATTATTATGTGACAAGGCGAATTTTTTTTCTGATCCAATCTATTTGGTGTTCTGTTTCTTGTACTTTCATAGGCATATCCTTCTTTAGGTTGGGAAAGTTTTCTTCTATGATTTTGTTAAAAATGTTTTCTGTACCATTGAGCAGTATTTCTTTGCCTTCCTCTTTACCTATTGTTCTTAGGTTTGGCTTTTTCAAGGTATCCCATATTTCCTGGATATTTTGTGTTAGGGATTTGTTGGACCTAAGATTTTCTTTGGTTGATGACTCTGTCTCTTCTAGTGGGTCTTTAACACCTTAGATTCTCTCTTCCATCTCTTTTACGTCGTTCCTGATTGCTTACCCAGCTTTTCTATTTCTAGCATTCCCTCATTCTGTGTTTTCTGTATTGTATCTATTTCAGCTTTCAAGCCTTGAACTGTTTGAATTGTTTCCTTCACTTTTTTGGGTTTTTTTTTTCTTGGCTTTTCTTGCTTTCTTTAAGAGATTTGTTTATTTCTTGATTTTTTTGGTTTCTCTTTTCCTCCATTTCCTGTAACTTTTTGTTTATTTTGTTTTCCATTCTTTGAGGATCCTCTTTGAGCATCTCTAACATCTTCATGATATTGTTTTTAATGTCCTTTTCTTCTGCTTCATCTGTGTTGGGATGTTTGGGACTTCCTGGTGTAGAGTCCCTAGATTCCGGTGGTATCATGTTGGTCTCTCTGCTGTTGAATGTGTTCTTATACTGTTGTCTTCCCATTCCTTCTTCCAGTGGGTACTGGTGGGGTCTCTTCCTCTGCTTCTGTTGTATCATGGTGAGAGTAGATGGACCAAAACTTTGATGTCAGCAAAACTGTCTGGTCCAGGCTCTCCTGGTGTTCTCCTTGTGCAGAGAGAGTAGGGGGGCCAAGACTCAAGCTCAAGCTCAAGGCACAGGGCTGTGGGCATAGGGATTCCAAGACTGTGATGTAGCAAGACTCTAGATAGTTTGGGATGCCTGGGCAGGTCCATAACATGCCGAGTAGACCCAGTAAGTTCTAAGGAGGGGATGGGGGAATTGGGCCTAGGACAAAACCCTGACTCACCTTAAGCAGAAGGCATGGGAGGGCCAAGAGTGAGATAAGGACAGACTCCAGAGATTCCAGGCTTCGGGAGCTGGTTTACTACATGCTGAGCAGACCCAGGATAGGGGTAGTAGTTGGACCTGGGTGGAACCCAGACTCACCTTAAGCAGAGGATAGTCTAGGCTGCTGGGGTGGGTCCACTGGGATCTGCATGGTTTTAAATAGAGTTAGCATATAAATATAATGCCAATAATATAATAGGAGAAGTGATCTTTTTTTGTTTGAAACTTTATATTGAAATCATCACCATGCTAGCTCTTTCAGAAAGTGGTGTAATTGAAAAACTTTTTGTCATTAAGTCATCAAATCTTCATGTTTCTCTCAGTTTACATTTTCTTTTCACAGAACACCTTTCTACAGATATCCATCAGGCAACTTCATTATTCCTTGATCATGAAAACATGATCAAGCACATATGTTATTCAGTTATTCTCAATAACACATATTTTTAAATTTTGTGCAAAGTTAGCATCTATTATCCATAAATTTCATTTTATCACAATTGATACCAGGAAGCAGAAACGATAGATTTGGGGACAACCAGAGTACCAAACCATTGCTTTTGATACATCCTGAGCCTTTCTAAAGAGTGCCCAATCCCGTACTGGCCTCAGAATCAGCAGCATTCCCAGTAGACTTGGAAGTTAAGGATTTTGGTAAAGTCATACCTTTTGTTCACAGAATTTCAAGTGAACAAATGAGTAAAGTTTAAAAAAGGAAGAGAGTTTAGAGGATTTTACCACAAACCTGTAGTTGCTTCTCTCTTGCAGTTATTAGGCCACAGCCCTCTGTAGCTGACAGCATTTCTCTGAAGGTTAGAGCACACAAGTTTGGGTGGGCAGTGGGGAATATGAAGGTGGCACAAGCCAGCCAAGGTCTCCTTTTTATGACTGAAAGGCAATCAATCTTGTACTCAAAGGCAACTCCTGGCTCCGCTGTTCTCCTTAGGCTAAGCCAGACTCAATGATAAGATATGGAAACTCTCACCACTCCCTGAAAACCTATAAAAGAAATTCCCTTTGTTGGAGAATGGAGTTCTCTGAACGCTCTTGGTATACATGACAAGCAAATGTGCTCTGTTACTTTAAGCACTCTCTACTAATGGTCTTGCATCCTACAATGTTCTCCCACTGCAAGAACTGACCATGGACTCCAATAATCTTGAAACTCTCTCCTAAAAATGTTAATTTTGATGTATAATTGATTTCTGCTTCATATTCAAAGAGGTTGCATTCTGTGATTTATAACAAAGAAGTTATGGAATAGTTTTATAGTTCGTGTAATATTTCAAAAGAACTAGGAAGAAAAATGAGAACTACTAGGTTGAGACACTTTTACCATAGAGGAAGTAGAAACCTATGTAGCCATCTTTTTGTTGTTGATATAGCAATGCAGAATGCTGAAAATTATGGATAAAACTATGAAATTTTAATGCACTGTGCATGAAAAGTAAACACAGAATTTGTTGGAGGTGTTCTCTAGGGATGTCATTTTGCAACCAGTGTTTAAAGGAAGTAATAACATATAATATGAAACCATGGAGTATGAGAAAGCTTACTCTCAGGACTTGTTTTCAGTTAGTAGCATCTTTTACTCAGAGTCAGAGGAAAATTTTGGTTGTACAATTTTGAACAGGGAAGGATAACACTCTACTATTTATTATATAATAATGGGTAGCACCCTATTTGACTATGCCAGTGACACAACCAAGACAACACAAGGCCTCTTTCATTTTTAGTGTACTATGATCTTCAAGCTTCAATTCAATTTCTATCCATTAATTCATCCACTAGTTCTGATATTTTGAGAATTAATTAATCCACATACACTCTCTATATAATGAATGATTCCAAGGAGATTTTGGTTTTGTCATTCAAAATAAAGCTTTTTAACATGTCATTTTTGTAATGTGAATGATCACACTCTATTTGAAACAGAAACTAACTTCTAACACTGTACAGGAAGTCCGATGTAAGAGATGTGGATATGTATTTTCAACTCGTTTGTTCATTTTTCCACTTTCTTTCTAGAAATTGTTTCTGTCAATTTTAATTCTCACCGAGGTGAGTGGAAAAGGGATGTAAAGAGACAGTTGCCTCTAAGTGCAAATAGCAGTCAAAGATAAGTCCTTTTTTCTAGCAATTCCAAGTTTCATTGAACCTGTCTTAAACAGTGTGTGGCCTTTCTGAAAAATCAGCAAAAGATAGGATGATATTGTAAAGTTGCGCATTGAATGCTAATTTGGAAAAAGACTCCAGAATTATGGTATAGAAGAGGAGCAATGGAATTGTCATAAATAAAACATTATAAGGTTTTGTACCACAAAAAGTGATAAGATAGCAGATTTTATAAAAAGAAATTGAATACAGTATATAGGTTTTGGTTATGAGACATCTCTCCAGCTCACAGTGTGTAGGTTTTTACAAACAAAAAAAGAAAGAAGAAAGAAAGAAAGAAAGAAAGAAAGGAAGGAAGAAAGGAAGGAAGGAAG